GATCCAGTGGCTCAAATGATTGATGTCTCTGGGACTTGATTCTGCACTTGGATGAAGATCAGTTTATAGGACTATTGCAGTATGATGCGAGGGATGCCACTGACTATTGCTAAGGTGTCTCATGCAGCCTCACTCCTGCTTTCCAAACCCTCCTCCAGAACTCAGACCTCAGACTCCCCTAGGCTGCCTCTCCAGCCCCTGACCAGATTCCTCCTTTCCTTGCCCCACACTCCTTGGGATGATATAGGATGTGTTCTGATACTCACTATGTATGTGAAACCTCTGGACCCTCCTGGAACCTGGATCCAGGGATCCAGGGCAGAAGCAGCATCTCTGCCTCTGTGTGTCTGCCTGGGGGTCACAAGGAGGGTGTCGAATGCCACTTTGACACCTCCTGGCTGTGTGACCTCAGGTAAGTGGTTCCATCTCTCTTTCTCATCTGTAAAGAGGTGATGACAGTTTTTAATATCCCAGGATTATTTTGGAGATTAAATGAGAGGGAACATGTGAAGCCCTTCACACAGAGAGTAAACCCTCAAACAGCAACTGCTATTGTTACTTTTATACCTCTGACAAAGGAAAATTCTGTTTGGGGGATTTTGACTGTAGAATGAGGATATGTATTACTAATAGCTACCAGTTATTATATACTTATATATGTTTAGCACTTCCCATTTATTCCTCACAACAGCTCCTTGAAGATGAGAAACCCAAGACCTGAGGGGTGAAGTCCTTTACCAGTGACAACCAGTTCATCAGGGATAGAGCTGGTGTCCTCTCACCTGTCTGACTCCTTAGACTAACCACTGTTCTGCGTCTCTGGAATGAGATGAGGAGATAGAAAATAAAGGGGCCTTAAATGCTACTTGTAAGGACACATAACTCCAATCAATGCTGGGGTGGGGAGGATGGGTGGAGAAGATGAAGGGTGGACACCAAAAACTTCAGCGTCTTTCCCTGAGTGGTGGGATTACTGATAATGTTTTTTTTTTTTTGGTGTTATTTTATATGGCGCAACTTTTCTAGTGTTAGCACTTACTACGTGGAAGGTAGAGGGCAATATAAAATCCTGCCCTGAGACAGGAAGCCCAACTTTAAGCTAACAGAAGCCAGTTTGTACAAGTTATGGAACTCAGGATCGTGACTGGAGCAGCTTTTCCCAGCATGGCCTCATTTCTGCAAACCCTTTGCGAAGCTTCTTTGTCTCGGGCCACCCCAGGCTCCAGGCTGAGACCTTCGCGGCAGTTTTCGGCCCAGTCCAGCTGGAGGACTGAGGTGTGTGGTAGGAGAGTGCCCTGGCAGATCTGGACTCCACTCCTGGGCTGAGAAGACGTTAGGCCAGTTACTTAATCTGTCTCAGGCTCCCTTCATCTTTGTCAAACAGATAGAAGAAAAAACCTACTTCCTGCCTTATTAGGGGGCATAAGGACTGGTACTCATGGGTGTGGAAAATGGTAGCTCCTAGTGTGAGGAAATCCCAAAGGCAGCCAAGGGTCTAGAGAGTATTCCCAGGAGAGTGGGAAGGCCTGCTGGTCCAAGATGAAGCATGAGAAACTTGCCACACTGACTTCAGAGACAGTGTCCCGGGGACTGGCAAACCCCAGCTGCACCTCTCAGGTCACCCAGCACGTCCCACCCTCTGAGGAGAGTCTGGTCATGGAGCCTCGGTAACAGCTGGCCTTTCTATACAGCTTTCTAGTTGTCCTAAAGTTTACAACATGTGTCCTAACTTACCATCTTTATTTTTATGTGCATAATGTATAAGAATTTCTCAACAGTGCGTCTCCATTTTATCCCTCCTGTCCTTTGTGCTGTTGCTGCATAAGTTTACTTTTCCATATGTTACAAATAACACAATACAGGCTTGTTTGGGGGTTTTTTTTTAGCCTTTTTCCTCTCTTTGCTTCAGTTTGGATAGTTTCCATCGCTGATTGTTCGAGGCCACTATGAGCTAATTGCATACTGTGAAATTTTTATCTCAAATATTATATTTCCACCTCTAGACGTTCCATGCTGTTCTGTTTCATATCTTCCATTTCTCCACTCATTATGTTCATGTTTTCCTTTAATTTCTCGAAAATATTTTATGTAGGTGTTTTTAAAGTCATTGTTAATTCCATCACCTCTGTCACCTTGGAGACTGCTCCTATGATTGATTTTTTTCCTGGTTGTGCATCACACTTTGCTTCTTTGCATAGCCAGGAATTTTGTATTGGGTGCTGGACATTAAAAAGATTATATTGTTAAGTGTCCGACGTTGTTGTCCTGATTTAAAGAATGTTGGACTTTATTCTATCAGGAAATTAAGTTACTCGTGGGTCAGCTTGATTTTTGGGGGGCTAGTTTTTAAGCTGTGTCAGGGCGGGTCTGAAGTAGCTTTTACTCCAGAGCTGGTTTGGACCTACTGCTATGGCACTAGCCTTCTAGGGTCTCTGCTGAGTGACAGCAGCTAGCTTGCTGTTCAACAAGGACTCTCCACTCTGCCTGGTCAGAACTCCCACGTCTCCCAGCCTTGAGTGAGCTTTGGGAAGTGTTCACCTTATAAGCTCCCTAATGCCTATTCCTTGCTGAGCCCTTGCAATCTCTCCCTCTTCAGCCAAAGACTCGGGAGACCCCTATTCATCTATCTAGAGCTTCATCCCTCTCTATGGATTTCTCTTCCTGGTAGTCTGCGCCTCAGATTCCAGCCACCTCAGTCTTCCTGAACTTGATCATTGTCTCATCAACTCAGGAAGACCGCTGTGCTCTTCTGGCTTCTCTGTCCCTGCGCAAAGAGGTGGTGAATGCCTCCAGGTGGAAAGCCAAGGCAGTTATGGGTTCACCATACTTGTTTCCCCTGCCTCCTGGATCACAGTCCTGTGCTACTTATTCTCCAGTGTCTGAAACTACTTGTTTCGTGTATTCTGTCCAATTGTCTGCTTGTTTGCAGTGGGAACTGGCAATTTCCTTTAAGATCGCTCTGTGGTGCTTCAATGATCCAGACTGGGTGTACAGTCCCTCCAGACGCTTGTCCAGAAATGGATTTAGGGTTAATAAAAGTCCATGAAAAGTCACAAGGGTCATTCTGATCAGCCTCTTAGGGAAACCCAGGATAGAGACTCACAACCCAGTATCAAGTCGGTTTACAACAGGAACTGTTAGTGTCCGTCAAGTGATGGATGGATAAATAAAATGTGATGTATCCATGCAATGGAATATAATTGGGCAATATAAAGAAATGAAGCCCCCAGATGCCTGGGTGGCTCAGTCAGTTGAACATCTTACTCTTAATCTCAGCTCACTTCTTGATCTCAGGGTCGTGAGTTCAAGTCCTGCGGTGGGCTCCACACTGAGTGTGAAGCCTACTTAAAAAAAAAGGAAAAAGAAAAAGAAGTACTGAAAAATGCTATACCATGATGAATCTTGAAAACATTATCCCAAATGAAGGAAACTCATCACAAAAGACCACGTATTATATGATTCCATATATATGATATGTCCAGAATTTATATGATATGTCCAGAATAGGCAAATCTATAGAAACAGAATGCAGATTAGTGATTGCTTACTGTGAGGTGGGAGGTGGGGGGCAAATACTAATAGGTACTAATAGAGTATCTTTTTGTGGGGGACAAAAATTAGATTGTAGTGATCATTGCTCAACCATGCAAATATACCAAAAAACGTTGACTTGCACACTTTAAATGGGTGGATTGAATGGTGTGTGAATTATATCTCAGTAAAACTGTTTTTTTTAAAAAAAGAATTGTTAGCGATTTTCTTCTGTACTGAAGGTAATGAAGGAACAGAAAGGTGCCGTGGTGATGTGGAGGTCTCAGCTCTCATGTTGATGTAGGTACATACCATCAGTAGCATTCAATTGTGACCTGGGAAATGTGACCAGAGAAGAGTTTACACTATTTTCTTCGGGGAGGAGCTATGAGAGAGCTCTTGCAAAGTTTTGGTTTCATCTCCTCTTCCCCACTTCTTCCCTTACCGGGAACCTCGTCAGCAGTGAGCACATACTGAGCAGCTGCTATCTGCAGGGAGAAGGGTCATTAGGGCATGTCTAGCCTTAACCTTGACCTCAGAGGAACCTGAGAACAGGAGAGCAGAGAGTGTCACGTGGCCTCTGAGAACTGTGATGTCACCTTTGTGTCCTCCATGTCACTATTCAGAACCACCAGAATAAGGGTGACATGGTAGTCCAATCCCAGCCAAGCATGGAAGAGGAGGCACCCTCTTTCTGTTGGTTTTCCTGTGTCACAGATGACGATGGTTCATTTAAGTGAGTCCTCTTTCCTTCAACCACTGTGAGTTCTCTGCGGAAGAAAAACTTCATTTGCAGGCTTCTTGCCGGGGTCTTCGTCAATGGACTTCTTTTATTTTTTATTTTTTAAAAATATTTATTTATTTTTGAGAGAAAGAGATGGAGCACGAGCAGGGGAGGGGCAGAGAGAGAGGGAGACAGAGAATCCGAAGCAGGCTCCAGGCTCTGAGCTGTCAGCACAGAGCCTGACACGGGGCTCAGACTCACGAACCGTGAGATCATGACCTGAGCTGAAGTCGGACGCTTAACCGACCCAGCCACCCAGATGCCCCATTGTCAATGTACTTATAAGTGGAAAATTAAGTGAAGACCCTGAGCTTTGCCTAAAAATACTAATAGCTAACATTTATTGAGTTCTTTGTGTGTGCCCCTCCTGTTCTAAGCACTTTTCCAGTATTATCAGCACTTTGTCAGCTACTATTTCTTTCACTATAAATAGGAAGTGTAAAGACACTGCATTCCTTTTTGCCACTACTCTATTTCACCTTAATTTCAGTAATTCGGGTAGGCTTTTCCTTCAGATTTTATGGTACTGATGCAGCAGTTCAGGAATTCACCATTCGGATTGGACCCAGTCCTCGGCCAGCTAAGCCAGGAGGCTGGCCTCCAGGGGGCTTTATGTGCCTGGTGTTCTTGATGCCGAGCGAGGACAATGCACTCATCAGATGTGGCTTGTGTGGTTTCTCTCCAGGATCATCCATGAAGATGGCTTCTCTGGAGAAGACGTGAAACAGTACAAGCCTGTTGTCTATAGCAACACCATCCAGTCCCTGGCAGCCATCGTCCGGGCCATGGACACTTTGGGCATCGAATATGGTGACAAGGAGAGAAAGGTAGGCCACTGGGCCCACGGCCCCTGCAGGGAGGGGGCGCGTGCACTTTACAACATCGGCTGCCTCCCAGGCACAGGAAGAGACTGCTGTGTGTGATAGAGAAAGCTAGTCACCAGCCTGAGCCAGTGTGTCAGCCAGCCTAGCAAATGCAGGCAAACGGGGGCCTGGGTGATGGGCACACCTCCCAAAGTCGCCGGCAAAGATGGCAGTCACAGAATTTGTTTACTTTGCACATGACAAAGGGTTGGTGACTGTCCTAAACTGGACCTCCTACAACACACACATAGTATAAGTACTTGCCCTTGGGCAATGAACTTGAACAAATAAAGCATTTCTCAGACCACACAATCGCGACCTGAGCGCCGTCTCGCCTCCTTAGGAGCACTGTGCTTGCCTTCTCGGAGTGGGGGGCAGCCATTCGAATTGCCTCTCTTTCCTCCTTCACACCTTACTCTTCCAGGTGAGTCTGAGGAGCTAAGGGACTCTCCTTCCTGTAGGAAGTTGACATCCTGAAATAGGGATTGTTTTTTTTTTTTCCTGAACTTTTTAGTTAACATACACTGCACTATTAGTTTCAGGTGTACAGTTTAGTGATTCAGTGCTTACATACAAGGGACTGTTTTCATTGACTTTCCAGGTGTCTGATAAATGGTGACTGGAATACGTGCATAAAAGCCTCTTATTTGCAAACATTTGCATGAACTTTAAGACTGAACCATATACAGCTACACTTGGCAAAGCTAAATAAAAGAGGGGAAGGGAAAGAAGGAAAACAGCCTTAGAGAATTCTGTCCAGGAGTGGCTCTTTGTGCTGTGGTGGGATTGTGGATCCCAGCAATCCTTTCCCTGTGTCCTGGAGGGTGGAGGAGAGGAGCAGGCGGGGAGGTCTTTGAGCACCTGGGCCCTGTGCTGGAGCCTCTGGATGGAGAGAATTAATTTCTGATTACTGTGGGATTCAGCAGTATGCTCTGTACATATCCTCTTCGCTAAAAATCATCTCCCTCACAGACAAAAACTGTCCTTGTCTGGTAAGGAGTCTGTGGCCGACAGCTTTACATGTAAAATTCAATAAATCATGCATAAACTTCTAGTTCCGTGGGGCAGAGTCATCCCAGCTCAGGTACTCGCTCTTCCTCCACGGGGGTATTTGGTGACCCAGGGCGTGTTGGAGGCCAGCCTGGGACAGGGAAGCCTGACGTGGGCCCCCTACTCCTCTGGGGGGCCAAGTCCAGCAGTGGTTATGCAGAGGAAGCACCCCCCGCCTGGGGAACTGGCTTTGCTTTCAGTCATAGAGCTGGGGCCTGTGGAAAGAGCGCACTGCTAGTTAGCTCTTCAGTCTTACTTCCATGAAGCATTAACTGACGACTTGCAGACAGTGGGGCACTGTGCTGGCCGCCAGGGATTCAGGAATGAGCACAGAGGGGGCGGTGCCCCAAGAAACCAAACAGCCGGCTGGCATCTACTCAGAGCGTCAGAATTAGCCAACATGGCAACTGGGCTCTATCCATTTTGGTAACACTGGCCACAGTGGTAATGGAGAGCTCTCGCTTATTACACAGAGGTAATGGAGAGCACCTCCTAGTTGCCAGGGGCTGTGCTAAGCATGTTATATATGTTAACTCATTTTCATTAACTCAGGCATTAAAGCCCAGAGCAGGAAAGGCCGACTGTGATCTTTAGGCAAGGACAGGCCACAGGCCTTTTGGCCAAAGAGAGAGCAAGGTGCCTGAATCTCCGTTAACCAGACGACCGCTACACGACAGAAGGCACGTGTGTCCCGGCACACGCCCTCCACGCTCACACGCGCCCACACACACAGCCTGTGAGATCACCCAGGGGTATGCACGTTCACTCCCATGCCCACCTCCCAGCCAGCATTTCCTTCTCCAAGTCTCCCCTCCTCTGATTAAAACCCAGAAAAGTCATTATGATTTGGGAATGCTTTTCTCCTTCAGTTTGGAAAGCACTACTTCTTCCTGTGGGATTTTTTTGGTCTCCATTTTATTAACCTGAACAGAGAGGTGATTGCTTGGGAATTGGTAGGAATATGATTCATCAAGGTCTACGCCGGGAACTCTGGGGCCTTGTCGCCTCTGTGATGCAAGACAAGACAGTCCTCACGGAGGAGGGCAGGGAAGGTGCAATGCACAGGGAGAGCAGGAACAGAGTGGGGGATGCCCTGGAGAGTCCACTGGACACGGTAGGGTCGGAGCCCAGTCCTGTTACAGCAGGTGGCACCATGGCAGGTGCCTGGCCCCTCCCTAGGGCAGCTCGGGCTCCTTGGGCACAATCCTCCTGGCTGACAAAGGCCTCCAGGCCTGTGGGCACCTCCTCCCTTTGTTATTTCACCTGTGAGGGGCAGAAAAGAAAGCTGACCCAAGATTCAGGCCAAAGTGAGCCAGGCAGCTGGAGAAGATGTTTTCTGGAAGCATGCTGGCCTGGATTTGCAGTCTGGGAAGCTGAGTGCAGGGGTTCCCCTACAGTAATCTGAGTGGGGGTGTGGGGGCAGCTACTTCGGACAAAGTTTCCCCTGGACCTGGAAGGGACATTTGTGATGACACTTGGCTAGGAGAAGGAGCCAGCCATGGGAGCAGAAGGGGACAAAGTCTCCAAACAAGCATGAAGGTCCTGACAGACGAGTGAGCCTGGCATGTTGGAAGCGAGTGAGCCTGGCATGTTGGAAGAGAGAAAGCCTGAACTGCACCAGCGGCAGGGCCCTGGGGTATTGGAATCTTCCAGTCAGGTCTACCTACAGCCAGCCAGTTGGTGGTGCCCAGACGCCCTGACCCCAGATGCTGGGTCTCCAATCTCTTTCCCCTCTCAGGACCCCAGGGGCTGCCCACCTGGAGGATCTGCTGTTTGGAAATTGTGAGGACTGCCCAATGCAGAACAGACCCAGATTTGTGTTTTGGCCTCTAAGGACCTCCTTCCGTCTCTTGCCTTCCCCACCTCGGCCCTCCTCCCCCAACCCATCTGGGATTATCTGGAGGAAGACAGCCCCACATCCAGAGCTTCCTTGGGCCAGCCAGCTTTGCACTCTCCATGCTTTGCACTCTCCATACAAAGAAGCATCTAGAAGCTTCCTTGCTGTACCTCATTAGGACAGGTGTCCCTGACTTCTCTTGGCAGCTGGTTCACCACCTGCCCTGGCCACCCCAGTGGAGGGAGGAGTGACTGGTTTCTCTTTCAGCCTCTCTGTTGTGGGGCTACACCTCGGGCCATATGACTGCATGAGCCCACTCCCGAAAGAACCTCTCCCTGGGGCAAGCAGCAGCGATCCCCTACATCAGTCTGGGGCTTCTACGCCCCATGCCCCAGCCACACCAGACCACAGATGCCCTCCCCAAAGATACCACATGCTCCCATGCTTCTAGGCCTTGTCTTAGGCCATACCCTCTGCTCCCAGTGCCCTTCTCCCCTTCTCTTCCTTCTGGAATTCCTCCTGTTGAGCGAGAACCAGCTTAGCTCCCTTCTCTTCTAAGAAAGCTTTCTCTTCCTTCCCCTTGACAGTGAAACTCAGCTCAAGGCTTTCTCTCCATTGAGCATTTACTCATCCACTAGTATGAAAATTGGTTGTGCTACTGTTTCCTTAGAGCCACGACCCTTGCTCTCTAGGGTGTTAAAAACCCATTTGAGCAGCTAATGAAAGCAGTGAGCCTTCTTCTCTGTCCCATGCACACATCTGGGAAATAGTGCATGTCATTTCAGGGGGCTCTGGAACTCATAAAGCCCATGAGGAGGGCCTAGAATAAGAAATCCATCATAATTTCAGGTCCTTCTGCACAAGACTTGTGTCATTCATCTTTCGGTCCCCTCCTCACCCAAACAAACATGCACAGTGCTCAGAATATTGTAGGTCTTCAAAACAATCCCTTGAGTAGAATGATATTTCTAACTTTCTCAGCTGTCAGAGAAAAAAGAGAAGTACCTGTAATTCATCACTGAATGAACAGATGTTGACTGGGCATGTAGTATGGGTAGGCTTTGTGCTAAAGGATTCGGAGGCATGTAGACAGAACCTTTAAGGAATTGATCTCGTTGGGAAGACAGGGTTCACAAGCTGAATGGCTGGGCCATCATGAAGTGTGGGATGTCAGGGAGAGCCTCTCAGGGAAGAGAGGGTGGCCCAGACCTTGAAGCAGGGGTGTGGCTTGACAGGGACTTATGTGGGTAAGGAAAGGGACTTGAAGCAGCAGGAAGAACAAGAGTAAAGGCAGTGGGTTGATACCGACCAAAACAGATCTGATGGACGGGGGAGGCCAGTGGCCAGAACAGAGGTTAGGATACCACAAGGTGTGGGAGAGTTAGAAGGTGCAGTTAGGTCCAGATGCAGGAGGCCTTGGAAGGTGCACCGAGGAGTTTGGATTTTATCTTATTGGCAGCAGGCAGCCCTTGATAGATTTTGAGTCAGGAAGGGATGAAAGTGAGTTTTTAAGGAAACTATGGCTTGTGTGGGGGTGGGAGGAAGAGGGCGGGGGAGGCAGGCTGGGGTGGGAGGTCTCCATGGGGGTGGAAAGGAAGGGCAGCAGAAGGGTGTGTGGTGATGAGGGGAAGAAGGGGGCCTGGGATTGAGAAGGCTCCTGGGGCACTAGCTGACCAGGAACAAGGCAAAATCTTGGCAGCAAAGCGGCAGGTGGGGCTGGGCTGGTGTTAAGTCTCCTTGCAATCTCGTGGGCTACCCACTACCTGCTACCCAGCGGGAGTGATCAGCAAGTAGATAGATCAGAGAACTGAGGCTTTAGGAACTAAACATGCTGATAATAGTAGCTTCCAATCTGTAAATTCCAGGGCCCAGTTTACAGGATTTATATTCATCACCTAATCCCACAGCTACCTGTGCAGGGGGTGCTATGGTTATCCTTACTTTGCAAGTGAAAAAAAATTAGAGGCTCAGTGACTTGGCCAAGGTCATGCAGGCGATATATGTGCACATTTAATCTAGCTGGTAACCCTATTGAAGCTGTAACTGGTGTGGTTCAGGTCCAGAGCAGAGACCCACT